TAGTCTGGTGGTGAATTTGTATTTTACGTTTTTATTTGACTCTATTTTCCTCATGTCATTTATGTTTAGTAAATAGATCATTCAGCTCATGGTAATCTTTTAGCATTACGTTCAGATCATAATGCCTTGAGCCTGTGTTTATGATTAATTTTTTATAGGAGGCTTTTAACCTCCAATATTTTTTTTCTGCATGAGGTATATTAGCATTTTTTGTAGGGAGGACGTGAGTAAAATTCGACAAAATTTTGTAATTTTGATGTTCTACGTACAATGATACATATTTCAATCCTTTCAATATTCTAGTGCTTTCTTTACATTTCATTTTTCTGAAATGTTTCCCTTCTTACCGAAGTTGTTCATAAAGATAGGAGGAAGATCCTGCGCACCGTTCAGTCTCTTGAAAACCTTGTTTGTTACCGCTTTCGTTGAATACCCGCCAAAATTTAAGCGTCTCGTTGCTTTGTGCGGCGCACACGCACTCTTGATCAGGAGCCAGTACCATGCAACTGAGCCCTTCTGTACAGTCTAAGGCACTGAAAACTCCTGTTAGATGGAGGTTAGACACCTTTCGGAGCTGCAGCTGGCCTTTCCTTTGGTGCGATGTCAGCACCTCACCCCCTTGGGCGATGATACCTGAGATGGGGTATCGCGCCTGCACTGCTTGCGTGACGTAGCTTGAGGTGTTTGGTCGTGAAAAATGGGGATCTCCACCTCCTATGTGATGGTTTTCCAGCGTTCGCGTTGTGATATGTGTATCAATCAACCGCAGCACACCGTCTTCCCCCCCTGTGAAGAGCTTGCTCCTCTTCTCAGGATTCCAGCAAATCGCCGAGACCGAGCCGCTGTGGACCTCATCAAATGCATAACGCGGTTGATGTGTTCGACGAGCATCCCAGATACGTACGTGGCCTTCCCTGCCACCAGTTGCCAAATAAAAGGGTTCTGCGGTGCAGTATTGCATTGCGGTAATTGGCGCAGAGTGGCCCTCATAGCTAGCAATCAGTGCGTTTTTCGCGCGGAGGTCGAACGCTTGTGTGCAACCGGTGGGCCCGTTTGAAGCTACCGCAAGCACGGGTCCGTTGACATCTAGGCATGTCACGTCCATGCCGGCTGGCAGGCGCAGAGCTCGGATAAAGCTACTGCTACGGCAGTCGTAAATCGCTGTCGTCCCGCCGCCTGTGCTTAGCGCAATACAAGCACACCGGTGGAGCCAATGCACATTACCAATGCACATATCCTCCTGCAACTGAAGAACCTTTGCTGCCGTCCGTGACTCCGCATCCCAGGAATAGAGGCTATCCTTAAGGCCGATGATTAGTTTGTTATTGCTTCCCCAGTCGATGAGCTGGGTGGCGGTTGCAGGGAATCCCGGTGCATCCAATATGCGCTCGGGGTTCGTGAAGAGTACTCGTTGTGGTCGACCGGAGCTAGGCGGGGCATGCAAAGGGAGCCGAGCCGCTGGATTGCTGCGAGTTGAAAAAGACGGTGGGGATGGAAGTTCTAGCCGACAGGGCGACGCCGCGGAGGATCTTCGATTGTGATCAGCGTTGGATGCGCAACCGCTGCCAGTCCTGTGGTGAAAGGTATTAACGCCAAAGCTGAATACCTCTCCACCGATGCCGCGCCGGCCAGACGCGCCGTGTAAGAGGCATGATCTGGAGGCCTCCTCCCCGTCCATGATCCCACCAGCTGGAGCGACCCCGGTTTCACCGACGCCGTGCAGTGCGAGGTTCTCCGCGAGTATGTCATTGTAAATCGAGGCCGCATAATGGTCATCATCCGAAATATGTGAGTCCACTGAGAAGCTTGTGAAAGTTGAAGAGGTGACCGACGTATGCACAGTGCTTGCTGGAAGACCTTGCCTGGTGGCGGTATTAAGGAATACAGGAACGGATGACCCAGGAAGACGCGACATTTTGGAAGCAGCAGGTCCAACGTCAGTGGGATTGGACATGTTGCAAAGTAAATTGAAGGCTGAAACCGACATATCCATTCCCTCTCGTTGAGGGATGTGCCGCGATAAGCGCACAGATCCCATCTCCATATCATCATCGTGGGGCTCATCCTCATCGTTTTCTTGAGTCCCCAATACCAATCGTGTTGCCACAGGAACGGAAGGGTTTGCAAAGCTGATTTTAGATTTTGTGCGTTGGAATGCTGAAGGACTGGAAAGTCCGAAATGAGGCGCTGTATTCACGGGCTTCGAATGCAAGGATATATACTTAGATGCTAAAGTGGATTGTATACCCGAAATCCCTGGGTTATGATAATTATGCGGCTGCTGACATGTTTTTCCAACTGTAATACTCATTGCTCCGTAAAATATGATGATTGTTAGAATTAATACAATTACGCAATGTCACTATACAGCTGAAGGTCGACTATCCCTTAGCTCAAACGTTACTGCTCTTTCGGAGTGTGTACTCAGGAAAATACAAACAGAGTATATAAAGGCGAATAGTTTGTGTTGTTTCTTTCTTCTTTTTTTCTAAGAAAGAGATGTGAGTGTCGTACAATGATAATACAATGGTGAATATACTGAATATAAAAAGTCTCTAAGTATTCAAATAATACTATAAAAGGGAAATAAAAACTCAAAACTAGTAAAACAAATGTACAAAAGCAAAATAATCTAAAAAGTAAAAATAAAATCAGAACGTAGTTGACCACGGGAAGTGACCAACGCCTTAGTGATGTGTATGAGCGGTGAAAACCGGCTAGTAATAATGTGTAGCAAAAATAGAAGAAATAAAAAGTAAGTCAAAACAAAAAGGAGAGAGCAGAAATCGAGAGATTAAGCTAGATAAAACCAAACAAAAACAGTGAGACGGTTATTGTCAACTTGAAAATTAAAGAGTTAGCACCTATTGTTACATTTAGATGCCATTTTTAAAATTTCTATGGTTTTCAGGGTTAGAAACTATCATTCTAATAACGTAACCTTTCTTTACCTTTTTGACCAATTGGTTTCCGTATATTTCTTCATGCAAAGATTTTCAACTGGATTGTAGATATCAGGGCACTGCTTTGATGACAAGTATAGGGCAAAGTGTCTCACCAGGACTTGTGGTGCAGCATGCTTTCCCACAGAACGCTTCATGAAGGGGAACACCTCCCAATAGTAATCAGGTGGAATGAAAAAGCCGAGTTTGTGCAGAAGATACATTGCCACAAGGTCACCAGTCAATATTGCCACCATACCAGGCTTCACAGACCGCGTCACGACATTTCTAACCGCACCATTTGGTCTGTCATCGCGAAAAGAAAAGAAAAACACAAACTGCTCGAATGGTGTGTGGTATCGCCTCCAGCGCTTCGACAAATCCGTCTTGATGCGCGTGGCGTTGTCGCGAATTGCATCGTACTTGAGCATTTTCATGAGCTGAGTCCACTCATCGTGCGCAGTCACAGCAGGCAGGCGTAGATGATAGCCCTCGCCGTAAAGATATTCCGCAACCTTGCGCACGACCTCGGGGTGCTTCTCGGCTAGCAAGCGCATTCGCAGGGAGCTTTTCTTGGCCTCAAAAACAAGTGCAAGCTGAAGCTGCGCCCAGACGACCTCATTGGACTGGAGCAAACACGCACTAAGCCGCGCCCTGAGAAGCTGCTGGGTGATTTGCCGGAGTAAGGTGCTAAGCATAGGACACGGACTGCATCCTTGCATACATATCAGACATGGATGCGTGCGCACACCGCAGTGATCATGGCTATGAGTGTTGTTATTTTTAGCGCGCTTCTGATCCACAACAGAGTCGATCAAGAATGGAGAGGAAGAGGGCATAACTGACGCCGGTGATACCCCGGTTGCCATAACGGACACCCCGCAAGGAATTTCGTGTCCTTGGGTTCCAGCATCGCGCGCGCGGGCTATGGATGCCTCCACATCGATATATTCAAGCGCATACGCTAGCTTCAAAAAAGGTGTGAGCAATAAGGGCACTCCCTTGAACGGTGGCATGTCGACAATGGGTCCCTGCGCGACGTCCTGCAGCACCGCCTTCTGCACTTGCAAAAGCTCCGCCCTGGTGTAACGAATCACTGCAGTCCGCTGGTCCTGCTGTAGAAGGTCCAATGAGCTCGATGAAACAGATGAGCTACTCTGTGGTGTATTTAGTTGATTGCGTTGAAGCTGATGCCTTTCGTTTTTATCAAGCTGTTCTTTAGTCCCCTGAAGTTGTCGAGGGCGGTCAGTAGAGGTTAGCGTTGCACTTCGGAGAAGTGGCGACCGGCTGCTACTTGTAACGCTAGCGCTCTTGCTTATCTCTCCGACTGGAAGGGTTACTTTATACGGGATCGCATTCGGATTCATCATGCCTGTATTAAGAGTAAAAACACCAAGAGGTTTACTTCACTATTGTTGTTTATTTATTGTCCACCACAAATATTCTGTGGGATACGCCTTTCATGAGACGTCAGAAAAATGAACACTTAAAGTGTCAAGAGAGAGATAGGAGAAGGAGAATAAAGGAAAATATTCCGATTTCAGTAGTAAAGGTAATTAATGAGTACATAAGAAAGAATTTATGATAATAAAATACAGGCTGTGCTGTTTAAGGGTTCCATATGGGCCTATTAACAGAGTATAGAAATCTTCACATATTTCCGAGTTGAAACATCCTACGCCTTGATCTACTCCGTTCACCACAGCTCTCTATTCCCTTCATAAGCACCAATAGAGTCAAGATGCTAGAAAAAAAGAGATTAGTTCGGCTTATGAAGCGGGGAGGGGCACCACTGAGGGTGGGAGGAACCTCTGTGCTTTCACCCAATCCGGCCTTAGGGTGTACATCAGATACCCATCGTCCGTTAATATGTTCCAACCCTCAGGAACCTTTGCAAGACCATACTGTGAGATCGCCGCACAGCGCTTCAAGGCACCATTCATGTACTTTAGAAGAAGAAGCGACTGCCGTCGTGTGAGCGATTTCAAGCAGAAATAAATGACAATAAGATCCTCAGCAGTGGACATAACTATCGGATTAGCCTCTTTCCAGTCTGACGCGATGCTCTGATAAACGTCGCGCGCACAATCCCCGAGCATCAAACGCGTTGGTTTACTTAAAATATCCATGGAAGCGCTGGACGGCAGAAAAGGCTTCGCAAGACGCTTGTACTCGTCGAGAAATTTGCGTTGTCGTTCGATTTCGTGGTGTCGACCATACGGTTCCGAGACTTGGCGATAAGCAGTGCTGATATTAGTATAGCGTGTGTGGCGCTCGTGTGCGCTGCACGTCGACGAGCACGAGTCAGAGGAAGGCGTCGGAGGAGCACAGGAAGAATCATGGGAGGCACCAGTTTCCTGCAACGTATTCCTCATCGGCTGGTATTGATACGGAGCCTTTGAGGCACACTCTGAGGCAGAGTTGCAGCAGAGCTCTTGCTGATGTATATGCCTATGACGGTGTTCGTGGTGACCAGACGCGTTGAAACTCGTGCCTCCTTGGAATTCCTGTGCGGATGGTGTTCGCGGCATCTTTGGCTGGAGCCTCAATATTTTTTCTTGTATTTTGCGGTTCAGAACTTGCCACTCGTGAAGAAGATATTGCAGTGGCTCATGGTCAGTGGTATAGTAATCACTTAAAAATTTAACAGCAGGCCGTATAGAGCTCCGTTGCTCTGCATTGAGTACCCCACCATTCATCCTACTCACTATAAATGTAATATGTACAGCTCTAAGTATTATGTATACATATGACCACTCGTGTCTGCTTTAATTTCTAAACTTTGGACAATAGTTAATTTAACACAATGTTTATGCTCACAAAGAGGTAAATGATCATAAGGATATCATTTTTTACCATCTGAACTCCGTTTTACCAGTCAATCTCTGGTATTTTGCTTTGTTTACTGGTGCGTATTGAGAAATATTATTGTTATGCACGCCTCCGAAAGCGAATAAAATACTGCAACTAAAAGGTCATTCCTATCTGCACAAACTTAGAAAATACCACCTCAACTGCCACTTTTCGGTCCTCTCTGATCTCAGTTCGTCTAATATTTACGGCTTACGATTATGTTCCCGTGTAATACTAATCTTGCCATTCGTTATTCCACTGGTAGAGCCGAGTTGTAAGAGGTGTTAGCAATAGTAGGTTGAGATTGTGGTAAAATAGCAAAAGGAAACCTCACACTGGAAGCTCAGTCAAAAGGTAGACTAGAAAAAATAAAAGCAAGTTAAATACTAATATAAAGTGTAGTTAAATAATAACGCAAAACTTCCGTGTTTGCTAGTGTATGGCATCGTGTGCACATTCGTTTTCCTCAGTTCACAAGTGTACAACACAGCAACGATCTGTGAAAAAAAGACAAACATTTTTTAAAACTCGATTGCTATTCAGGTACGACGATTTACCCTAGTGCATTAAATACGCTCAGATGCAAATCATCGTGATGCAGGGCACAAAAACACATGCAGTGTTTCAGATAGAATCTGAAATCGCCATGACGATGGTGAGTGGTTATCGCTGCAGCATGCTCACCCTATTTTCGATGTCTGCGTGAAGGGGGGAGCTTCGTCTTGAGCCCCCCTCTTTAGCTTCTTCAATTCCTCAACGCGTTTGATGAACCGTTTCAGTGTAAAAATAAATTGTTCGCCGCTCCGCGTCTCGATATCGTTATGCCCACAGTCTTCAAACCAGTGGTGGTAAATTCCCAGTTTCTCCTCCGTCGTCTCCGCGATGGCTGAACGCGATGGATCCAACGGCGGCTCGTGGCTCCCATCGGGGTGCTGGGGAAATGCCGCACCCACGGTGAATCCCCTCCCTGCCGCAGAGGTCACCGCCGAGGTTCCCGCGTTCGTTTGACCGCAACTGCCTGCCGTTGGATCCGCCCATTCAGGCGTAGGAGGCCTTGAAGACCGCATATCCACGCCTTTGTATAAAGGGCTCGGTTTATCCGAAGATTTCCCCAGGGGTACCCCACCAACAGGTCCAACGCCGTCACCCTGCGGAGCGGCAGCACGTAGGGGACCACCGGCACGCGAAGCTTCCAGACTGTGAGCCTCCGTGAGGTTCAGAGGTGGGGGACGGAGATCCGCTACTTTGGGTGTGTTTGCCGTATTATTGAAAGCGTCTGCTTCATCACCCACCTTGATCCCCTTCCTATAAACGTCAGCACTCTGATCATTATTTGACTTGACTGAGAAAACCCTCTGCTTTCTTTGCTGCAGTCCCGGGTTTAACACCCCTACCGAGTTACAGCTCAGGCACGATAAGAAAGATCTTTTCTTCTGCATCTGTTCTTTTCGTAGCGACTGTCGCTGTTTGAGAGCTATGGATAGAAGCTGCTCTGAACAACGAATCGGTACGATAGAATCCTTCTTACCGTGCATGAATAAAATTGGGCAATCCGTAATATTTTTGATGCGACCCATGTTCACGAACATGTCAAGCCAACCGAAACAGAAGGGAAGGATGATCGTGGACACTACACGAATGCATGAGGTGAAAGTAGATTCCAAAATGAGTCCCGCGATGCTTTGGTGATGCTTTTCTGCCAGATAGCACGCTGGGCCTCCACCCAAAGAGCGTCCCATGAGGATGATTTGGCTGGGGTGATATCCTAATGCGAGTACTTCCTCGTAGATGCAATCAGCATCAACGTACACAGAGCTTTCGGTTGGTTCAAACGGAGTCTTCAGCCGAGGATTTCCTGAGAAGCCGTAGCCACGGTAGTCGTACCCAATCACGTCAACGTGCAGGGCAAAGGATAACCAGCGTAGGATGGTATGGCAGATTCCAAGATTTTCGGCGTTTCCATGACTATATATAATGATAAAGTTATTCTGCTCAGGCGGTGATGATCCCATATTCGCCTCACTCGAGTTCTCGCTGCTGCTGCGGGCGATGCTCCCAGTACGCACGCTCACTGAGTCGTAGCTCTCCCGGCGGGGGTGGTGTTGTATGTGTATGTAGTAAATACATTCGCCGCTTTGTGTGAGGACATATGACATGTAGCGTTTAGCTCTACAAAGGTAGGTGAATAGGATATCAGACTCCTTGTTTATAGGCTGAAAGACGATCGAATTTAAGATTCCCACCATGAGTAACAAAGGCTTGGAGTGCTTTGGTGCAGGCTGGAAGGGGAGGTGAATAAAAACAATGAAAGGTACGAAAGAAAATAAACGCTCAATATGGAAGGAAAAAAACTCCAAGAGCGTAAGGTATGATTTGTGTACTATTGACTTTACTAGCCACGGATTTAAGAAAAAGGAAATAATGGCAAAAATTTGGATTGGCGCAATTAATATGAGCATTTGAAAAATCAAGATATACCAAAAGCGCTTGTCTGCGTCCCACATCACATCTTCAGGCCATAGGCGTGTGTGCGGGTTGGGTGCCATTTATTTCATTTATTTCCACTTTATGGGAACACAAAGTTAGAGGACAAATTCAACCTTTCGTTAGAATACACTGCATTCATCGCTTCGCATTCTCTTCCTACACTTGACCAACATGTCGGAATCTAAATTCTATTATTCAGTTGTCTTTTTTTGTCCGGAGCTACTCATTAGACGCGAGTGAACGTGTTTATGGTGTTTCGTCGTCGAGATAGTAAACAGAAAGGGAATGACTTGTTTCTTCTCCAATGCTTCCTGAGGGAAGAGGGGGAGAGGTTTCACGTGGCTCACCGTCGCTTGATCAACGCGAGCGCTGCGGGGTCGTTCTCAATCTCTTGCCTCAGTTCCTTTAGCATTGCCTCGCACTCCTCACGGCTCCCGATAGGGGAGAAGTTCAGGGCCCGAATGCGTTTGGCATACCCAGCAATCCGTGTGATAACCTCACTGTCTGCTTGTTCCACATTCCTTTTGGGGCCCGACGCGTCTTCATCCGAGGGCGTGCCGACGAGGCCCGACGCAGGGGCCAGGCTCCCAAAGTTCTCCAGCTCCAAGGCCTTCTTCCGTGCATTTTGAACCACTTTCTCTGGCATGTTGGCGAGCGCGGCGACCTCGATCCCGTAGCTACGGCCACATGGACCGGGTTCGACCCTATACGAGAACCGCAGCGTCCCCTTTTCGGCGTCGATTTCCCCCCCAAAGTGCGCATTCACCATACAGCCACACTCCGCCGGGAGGGCGGTGAGCTCGTGAAAGTGGGTGGAGAAGAGCACCGTCGCGCCGATGCGGACCGCGATATCCTTCACGATCGCCCACGCCAAGCCGAAGCCGTCGTAGGTCGAGGTGCCGCGACCGAGCTCGTCGACGATGGCCAGCGTCTGCGGCGTCGCGCTCGACAAGATCGCGGCCGATTCGAGCATCTCCACCATAAAGGTGGAGACCCCTTGCGCGAGGTGATCCGTCGCGCCGATGCGGCACATCACGGCATCCCGCAGCTGCAGCTCCGCCGCGTCGGCGGGGACGTAGCAGCCCGCCTGCGCGAGTACCGTCGCGATGCCGATGCTCCGCATATAAGTCGACTTCCCGCCCATATTCGGGCCCGTCAGGAGGACCCCAACCCCGTCGCGCGCGCTGAGGTGGACGGAGTTGGCCACAAACCCGGGCGTCCGCAGCTCCACTAAAGGGTGGCGGACGTTCTTTAGCGACAACCGCGGCACCCCTTCTTCCGCCTCCTCGTCCAGGGCGCGCGGGAACGGGTCGTGCACGACCGGCCGTACCATCCCTCGCGGGGCCGTCGTGACGACCAGCGCCCACGCGACAAACACATCCAGCCGCGCGATCATCTCCTTCGCGTCGTCGAGCACGGGGAGGTACGAGGCGAGGGTGTCCACCAGCTTCCGCTTCAGGTCCTGCTGCCGCGCCTCATAGGCCTCGCTCGCGGCCCGGTAGCGATCGCTCAGCGCGGAGAGGTTCTCCGAGGTGAAGCGGACCCCATCTTTCGACGTGCTCACGACAATCAGCTCACTGCTGGCGCGCAGCTGACGATCCTCCTTCCGTGCGACGCGGAACACGTAGCCGTAGGTGTGGTGGTACTCACACTTGAGTTGCCGCTCGTTCCAATCGTACGTTCGAAGAACCCGTCCGTACTCCTTGTCGACTTCCGCCTGCATCCCCTTGAGCTCATGATGGATCTCCTGCAGCTCGTCATCAAACTCGGCATTCATGCGCGCCGCCGCACGGTCGGAGAAGTCCACGGTGGAGGTAATCAACAGTCGCAGGTTTCCCATGTGTTCGTGGATGTCCTCAAGCGGGGCGATGAATTCGTCCGCGAGCAGCTTCGCGCTTTGACCATTGTACATCTTGAGAATCTGCAGCGCCTCCGGAATGAGATCCACAAAGGCCAAGAAGCTCTGTGTGTCCTTCAGCGCCAAGCTGCGGCGCTGTAGCTTGCGATTCAAGCGATCCATATCCCCACAACGCTTCAGTACTTGGTGAATTAGCATGTCCCGTACAGCGGGGCTTTCAACAAACAGCTCGACCATCGATAACCGCTGGTTGATATCGTCGACGTTTCGTAGTGGCTGAAGGAGCCATTGCCGCATAACGCGTGCGCCCATCCCGGTAACGCAGCGGTTCAGCCAGGTGAATACAGAACGCGGGATACTACCTCGCGGCTCCGGTTTTTTAGATACCAGATGTAGCGCCTCAACCGCGGCGGTGTCGAGCTTCATGTAAGTGGAGGGGGCGATGTGCTTCAGGTAAAAGACACGCCGGTTTGTGGGGTCCAGCACATCCAGCTCCCCCATGAGATTCTCCAGCGCCTGGGTGGCGAGGGGATAGCTGTCAAGCACAATACGCTCTTCGGGAACGCGAAGGAGGTCCGCTAAGGAGTCCAAAGGTCGAGAAAGGGCAGATTGCTTTTGCCTCTGCCGCAATTCACGCAGTGTGGAAAGGTGCAGAATGGCCCCAGCACGCTCACTCATGCGTTTTATGTTTTGCACGCATTCCTCTTCATGCGCGGTGCCTGTGGTGCAGAGTGTTAGCTCCTTTATATTAGTCTGCGTCACCAATGCGTCCAAATTCACGAGCTGGGCGGTGTCCACGTACTCAGAAAATGAGAACTGCCGCAGCGTCGCGTTTAAGGACGCGAAGCCGACCCGGATGCCGCTGCTGGTCCCGCCATTAGACGCCCTGATCGCGCCATCGTCGCTTAGCACGAGCGACGCCGTCGACACTAGTTGGATCTCCGTCTCCTCGAACTCGAAAAGCGACGCCTCGAAGTCCGAAATATTTCCCGGAGACCCGCGCTGCACACACGCATAGGACCCCCCTCCCGCGGCGCGCTCGTAGTACTCCACCGAGACGCCACGATGGAGAAGACAATCCCGAATAACCTCCTTGCATAGGTTCTCATTGACCACCACCGCTGCAAGTGGCTGCGCTGGGGTACCCCAATCCTTAAGCACCGCAGACGACTTGATGTATTCCTTCGCGATGAGGACGGCCCACCAGCCGAGGACGTAGCAGCCGTAATTGTTACCCCCGCCACGAGCAAACACACGGAGGCAATCCTTTTGATTCTCCCCGTGGGATAAAAAGGCTTGCACTAGCACATTGTCTCTCTCATCCGACATATTGGTTTCCCTTTTCTTTCCGTGACCCTTTTGGATATCCTTAATAGAAGTATGAAGCACCAATATATCTATATGTATGCGCTAACCAATCAAAATTCTATGGATGTTATCGTTATGTTTATGTGTAGAATGTATTCTCTACTTTTCTCTTACTTTGTCCCTTTTAACTGAGCAACCCATGACAAGGTGTCCCATCGGCAAGCATGACTGTATAGTGAACATGCTCTTCATACTTTAGACCACAGTTTGTATAGCCTACGTTTACGACTATTCGTATATTGTGATATTTTTTAAAAATATTTCACTTTAGGGACCCACATCGTGAATAATTATGGATTATCAAAAACTTCCAATACAATTGAAAATCAACACTTAGTATCTCCTCATCAACTGCTACTGCATGCCCAGCTGCTGGTCATTTTCACCATTTGGCAAACTGTGGGTTGACAGCTTTTTTCTCCTTCAAAAGTAACAATTTTTAGAATTCATCTTCTGGGTCTTCGGGCTTCTCACCATGCGGTCCTTGAATGGGTGTCGAAAACGGTGGGGCACGTATCACGGGTGAAGCGGACTGAAGTGTGATGCCTAGGGCCTGAGAAGTGGATTCAGGTCCCCCTAGGAGAACAACACTGAGTATCATGCCCGTGGCTACGGAGGGTAGCCACCAGTCAGCATTGGAAATGATGAAATCTGATGTCTTGTCGACGAGATGGCGCACCTTTTCGTAAAAGTACATTTCATCCCAGTCCTTTGAGACTGGCGGTGGTATGCCGAGCATTTATTTTATTTTTAGTCTCGTTAATAAAGTAATTTAAAGGTTCTCTAAAAGAAAGTAAGGTTTGCTAAGTTAAAAAAAAAAGAGAAGAAAAACGTGTCCAAGTCAAAAGGTAATGTTTCACAAAAGTGGGCCTGCAGGACTAGGTTAACCAGAAGCACGTCATTGATATAGAGATCTCTACTCTTTGAAACACTTCCTTTGCTGGTGCATCGAGCAAGATAAATACTGCTCGACAACCTAAGCAAATAATATATATATATATATATGCATGTAAGAACATGTCTGGTAGCAGGTGAATGAGCGTGTAATTATTATTACTTTTGGTTTCTTTTTCATCATCGTTGCATGCTCCTGCAGAGTATAGCGTTCAAATGAGCTTCCAAATCTGCCACAAATTCATCAATGGGAAAATGAGAATGCACGGCAGCTGAGCCGCACGGCTCGGGACTGGATTGAAGCGGAGCTATTCTGGTTGCGGCATTCATGGAGAGCAGCAGTGAGGAAATCGGGCTCCCCACACCGCTGCCTTTCCCCATCTCGCGGTCCATATCGTGGATTTCTCGGTCCAGCAGTTCGAACACGCACCGTTCAAGGAGGGAATGTTGGGTGAAAAAGTGAAGCGTGCTATCGCAGAGCCCAATGGCGGCGACCGCATCCACCAACGCGGTGATAGGGGGGCCGGCGGCGAGCCCGCGAAAGACGCTGGCGGCCTCCACGCAGCGGTGAGGTGGGCGGTTCGCCGCCGGGCCTTCACCCTCCGGCGTAGGGTGGATTAGTGAAAGGTAATAATAATAGGTGCAGCGGGTTCGCATCTGGCAGTGCGCCGCCGTGAGCTTCACGAGCGTCTCCATCATGCTGGCATCCACCGCCTCCCCGCAGACGCTTTTCGCCGCCAGAAAGTAGCTGCGGAGGAGATCCCCACATGTCTGACTGAGCCGCGGCGCCGTGTAGATCCAGTAGAGCGCGGCAGACGTCGAGAGGACCGGCACCTCTTCGGGGATAACGGATGACGTATCAAAGGGGGCGGATCTCCCGAGAAAAGTCTCGCTGTGCGGCCACTCCAGCGCCTTCCCGAGAAGGTTTAGCCACTGCCCACCACGACGCCGAAAGAGGGTTTGAAGTTCCACGCTAGCGCTACCGTCGAGCGCGATCGTCTTCCGCGCGACGTCGAGGTCCGGCCGAATCACCACGTTCATATGCTGGGCGAACTCAAAGACCGCGCCTTTTTCCAGCATCTCGCGCCCCTCTCGGATGGTGCCCACCAGGGCGTGTGCGGTATAATAGGGTACGCTTTGCCCCCCAACCCGCTGGATCGTTTGCTCCGTCGGACAGGGAGGATCCCCGGCGGAAGAAGGGTTAAGGGGCGGTAGATTCATTCCACAACTCGGATTCACGGCGTTCGCGAATGGCATCGTATGGTAAATCGGTCGTCCACAGAGAACCTCCTGAAGTAGCCGCAGCGTTCCCCCTGACGCGGATTCGACTCCTTGAGCAATGATCGCACGGTGATGGGCATGATTGAGGATACCACCCCGTATTTCCTCCACATAGCGTGCGGGAGGTTGAGGCTTCTCAACGGGATGAGGCGGGGAAGGGTGGCGACGGGTACCAGGGAAAGGACCGTCCTCTGACTGGCCGCGCGCGAACTTTGGTCGCCTCATGGAGGAGGTTGGTGGTTCCGCAGGGACCTCCAACGCCACGCGTCCGGGACCTCGAAGAACCTCATAGCTTGGAAGAAAAAAAGACGGACGGGCCCGACTCAACGCCCCTGGAGGGATCTCGATCGTCGCGCTCGTTGTGGCGGCCCTCAGTCGCCGCAGCACACCAGGCATAAAGCCAACCGCCGTGGCAGCCTCGTCAATCAGCAGCAGGGATACCTCACACGTATCTTCGTCAACCGACTGGGCAGAAAAAAGTGTGATCAAAAGCGCCACCACGGCATCCAGTGAGATGAACAAAAAATCCGTTCCCCAAAGCGCCCCCTCGCGCGCCGGTGGTGGGATGGGTTCCAGGCCTAGGGCGAGCCGGGCGCCCTCCCAAATTCGCATCGACAGCACCGTGGCTTGCCGCTCCGATGCCACCGATAGCCCCTCCCGATTGCCTTCCCGTGAAAGCTCGGGGGGCGGGACCGTCGAGGCCTGGATGCCGCGCATGGCAAGGGTTTCCAACTCCACCCGCCCCATCCCCACCATCGCCATGCTCGCCTCCAAGTACTCGGATTGGGGATCCTCGTGAGCCCGGGAGGTCGGGCGACGACGGGAAACCCCGGCAGGAAAGACCGCCGTCGACGCCACGACGAGACGTCCGACGACCTCGACGACCTGGCCGATCACCCCCACGCGATGTTGCACCCCTGTTGGGAGCGAACCCACATCCACGACGCGACGCACGCGCTCCGGGATCGCCCCTTCCCCCCCTCGATCCCCCGGAAGGCTCGATCGGGCGATCAACAAGGTAATCCACGGCGTCGGCCACGCGGCGTGGCGGGTGGGGTAGAAAATCCCATCCACCACCCCCATCAACTGGACGTGAGAGGCGACGCCGAGGAAACGGTCGATGGGGTACCCCCCCCATGGCGACCCCGGCCTCCCTCGAGGCGGATCCCGCACTCCCCGAAGCAACGCGGGATCCGCCGGGAACGAAGGCGGGAACGGGGAAACCAGCGCGGCGACGGCGGCGAAGAAGTGGGGAAACTGCCTCCTCCATAGGAGGAGTTTCATCGCCACCCCACGCGCCGCGACGGCCCGCACGGCCTGAAGGGGCCATTGCGAAAACGCGTTTTCCATGGCGCCCCCTGAACGTGACGCCGTCGCCGCCCTTTTCCTGCCGAGTTCGTCCTTACCGAAACGGTCATCCCCTTCCGCCTTAGGGGGGTTCCGTTTCATCTGAAGAAAGGCCGAGGCCGCCGCGGCGAGCCCCTCCAAGAGTCCGGCCTCCAGCCCCTCGAGAAACCGCGAGATGGGTTGACAAACGAGAACCTCCCCTAGGATCGGGGAGACCCGCATCACCTCAAACCCATCCAAGGTAAGGGGGATGGGGGAAGGGGGGTCCTCCCGGCCGATTCCCGCGGCGCCGTTTCCCCTGGGAGGGCTTCGAGCCGTCTGGGTAAAGGCCAATGGGGGGATTCGATGGGGTTTCAATCTCGTCCTATCCAACCCCACGAGACGGCTCTCTTGGCAGGGAAGGAGATCCAATGGAGGGGGGGTTTCAACCTGAGGAAAAGCCGCGGCAGAGTCGCATGGGGGTAAGGGGAGCTCCAGGGATCCAAGCAGAAAAGGACTCCCCATGGGTTCCCCATCGGTTATCCACGTGGCGGTCGTGAAGCGTGCGGTGAGGTGCCTTAGCACGTCGTCCTGGATGGATGGGGAGTTAAGGATAAGACGAATATATTCGTGCTCCATGTAACAAGGTATTCTGAATGAGGAATCCTTAACACACCATAAATGTGCAGGAGGGTGGTGGTCTTACCAGAGAAAGAAAAGAGAAGGGATGATGATAATAAGCAGAGGAAAGTGATGAAAATGAAAAAAACAAACAACTAAAGGGGTTCATGTATGATGTGTGTATTCATATAAGCATGAAATGATCCTCAACGTAGGATACCCTTGAACCGCATTTCCTTTTCCACCGAACCTTCATATTAATTATCCATCTTCAGGGGCTGCATCCATGAAAAACAATAATAGGCTGTTTCCACATCGCTTTAAAAATGTTCTGAAATGTAAGAGAAATCCCTTCTCCAAAAAGGGGATCCATGATTTCACTACCTCGTGAACGTTTTTTTCCATTTTGCTTCATATTTCACATTCCCCCTAACACCGTGACCGCACTACGAAAGAAGATCACTCATTTCTTGATGCCACGTTAGATTCACTTTCCACTTACGCCGCAGTTCCGCCTCCTTCGCGATACTTCGTGGACTTCTCTTTTCGAATCCAGAGGCACCATCAGGAGAAGCGCCCTCCCCCCCATCACAATGGGAGGATAAGGACGCCAACTGGGCACCTACGCATGCCTCCACATGGGCTGTCAACACCCGCACACGATCAACGAGGTTGTAGATCTGCAACGCGGTCGGCCGCTGATCTACACTCGCACTCGTTCCAACCCCCGCTACTCCACCAGACGGACCCCTTTCCTCCAGAAAACTCGGAAGACTCAAAACCCGCGCCGGGAGGTCCCTCCGTTCCGATCCCGGGATCGCTAACCCTTCGTTATTCCTGGAAATCACTCCCATCATCCGTTCTGCCGAAGTGGAAGGGCTCAAAGGGAGGACGAGCCACACCCGACGGAAGAGCCACGGCCACTCCACGAGATGCTTCAACTCGGCGTGTGCGAGGGAATCCTCGAGAAGGGGAAGGCGCTGGTGGAGTTCGTAGCGAAACCACCGCTGGCCTTCTTGGAGGGCGATGCGATCGGCCTCCGAGAGCGGTTTATACGCGGTTTCACCCGCGCTTGGGTTTGATTCCGAGAGCCTTGAAGATGCCGTGGAGGTCGTTGCGTCGTAGCCTTCCTGAAGCCGCTCCCAAATCGAAGCTGGTACGGCCGTCTCCACGCTCGTCTTCAAGGAAGGGATGAGATACGACCACGACGCGATCGCCGGCCGAAGGATTGGCATCGCCCCCAAAGCACCTTTCGCGGAATCGTGAAGCACGCGTCTTCGGTAGCGCAGCTGACCGGTCTGATCCTGCGTCGCCTGGGAGTTGTGCACGAGGCCGCGCTGCATTCCAAGCCTCCGTCGACGATAGTTCGAGTTGAGGGGGTTGATATAGAAAAGGTCGCCACGGCCAGCCCCCCCACTCACCGCGCGTGGACTACTCCGTAGAAATGAAACCCCATGATAGGATAAAGGAATGTGAATCCGGCGTCGTCTCACGAGATGGAGAAGATGTAAGCTACTCGTCATTTTTATGAGACTTCACAACTTTTTTGTATGTGTCTGAGCGTGCATGTACCTGAAAAAGTGAATCGAAGGGGGGAAAAGCTGCATTTGACATGTCAAAACAAAGGAGAAAAAAGACCAAACCTAAGCCTTTTTATATCCTCGTTGTTCTTTCCCATTGCTTAGAATGAGAAAGAATCTTTAAGAATTGATCTGAAAGGGGAACTCCCTTCAATAATTTACATCATCCGTGATGCCCCAGTTTGCACATAATCCACACACGGAACGCTTCTTGGGAATTGCGCTTCTTCGTTTGACTGACTGCTTTCTCATCCTTTTACGGCATGGATGGTAGTTTCCCCCTGGAATATTTAATAATAAAAAAAGAATAGTCTACTTCAGAAGACCGCTTAGAAGTCTAAAGTTACAAAAGGAAGTGGAGAAGAATAAGAAGTAATGATCACATGTCTTGGTGTAGCTTTGATCGCATTTCTGCTACAAGACGCTCTATACGCCGCAGTGCGCGATTCTGCTGCATTATTCGAGATTGCCATATTCGTTGACTCATTGCAGATTCCATAGCTTGCTTCTCAACGTATCCTTTGTGGACCTCAGACCACTTTTTCTCCTTCCACGCCTCAGCTACAATTTGAATGCGATGAAGCCTCTCCTCCAGATCCACCTGCTGCTCCTCTCCCTGTGCAGGTTCAATCGCTGAAGGGTGTGGCGTGGACCAAGTCATGCCGTCTTGCAGACTGCTTTCAACAAGAGACATTCCCGGTAAGCTCATGGAGCGTGGTCGTTCACAGACAACAGTCTCCTTCTCGGAGGAAACGGTATCAGTTGCTGGGTTTGCCTCAGACGCATATTTTTGGTTCAAGAAGTAATGGACACGCGACCGAGATCTAGTGTGGGAGCCGGGTGTTTCTGCATGTCCATGTTCACCCTTCTGGAAGGTCAGACAAGCACCATCACCGACATCTCTATCTACTCCAACCCTTGCCGGAGAATGTTTAGCTGTGACGCTCATGGTTGAGGTCTCCTATATTTTAAGAAAAAACCTGCAGGCTAGAAAGAATCAAAAGGAAAAAACAGAATAAGGTATGTGTGGTGGGGGGGGGGGGGGGTTGAAACTCCCTTTACATGCAATTGAATGTGCTTAAGGGATCAAAACTTATGAATATTTCACCTCAACAACTCCCGAGACTTCATCCCCTCTATGAATAACAGAATAATAGTAACGCCGTGAAATGATAAGAATAAACATCTTATAGTTGTGTGCCTCATTGCATGCAAAAAAATAAAAGCACACGACGGTAGATAAAGCCATTGTATCATTCTTCTCCATTGATGCCTACGTTAGCAATCACAGGTATACGCATGTTCTCTACAATTCAATGTTCGCCTACCTTTGCAACAACAGAGCAAAATCGATACACTGGCCCCGCGCAGTAGTTTCGACAGCGTTACAACAAGATAAATATAGTTCACCGTGGAATGGTGGATTTCTAGAAAAGTAAACACACGCGGAGTATTTTTTAAAATGTTACAACGACTCATCCGGAAGACGAACGTACGAATGATACTACTAATAAACAAAGAGACGTCATCCCTGAAAAGGTATTTTTTTTTTTTAAAAAGCCATTTAAGCAAGAGATCCAACAACCCACCACCGGTGCGCTTCCGTGTTAATTTTTCACGTCGTACTTTTTAAACTCTTGGATGACGGCCTGCGTGCAGGCCTTAATGTCCACGATAGGGGCCGGGTACGCCGTGACGTACCGCACCCCCCACTTCCCTTTCTTGCCCGACAGCGATGGGGGTTTGGCGTTGCCGTCGCCGTCGCTGCGGCAGGGCTCCGCGAGCCGGGCGCCGTCGTTTGGATCCCCACAGGGCCGATGCCCGTGGGCTCGACAGTACGCATCCCAGGTGTGCAGGATCGCGGGCGGGAGGCCGCGGAGCTCGGGCACCCAGGCCCGAATAAACACCCCATCCGGGTCGTACCGGAGCGATTGGCGAAAGGGGTTAAACGTGCGAAAGTACGGCTGCGCGTCGGCGCCTTGCCCGGCGGACCACAGCCACCCCCCGTTGTTCGCCGCGACGTCGTAATCCACCGCCTTGCTCGCGTACCACCGCTCGCCTTCCCGCCAATCCACCGCGAGGACTTTCACGAGAAAAGACGCGAGCAGCATGCGGCCGCGATTGGGGCACCACCCGGTCTCGTTCAGGCAGCGCACCGCGGCGTCGACGAGGGGCACCCCTGTGCGGCCGGCCTGAAAGGCCGCCCACGCCGCCGCCGGCGGGGGGGCCCAGCGGAAGCGTTGATACTTCGCGAGAAACGGCTCGTTCCGCGGGCGGATCGCGAGCCCTTTTGGGAGCCCGGCGGGCGGCGCCACGGCCCGGAGTTGCCCCCCAACCAAACGGGGGTGGTGCTCCAGCAGCATCGCGTAGAACTCCCGCCAGAGGAGTTGGCGGGTGAAGCTATGGGGAAGCCCGAGCAGACGCACCGCGCGGTCCCACGCCTCCCGGATGGAAACCGTTCCGAACTTCAAATGAGGGCTCAGATGCGAGGTGGCGTCGAGGGCCATGAGATCCCGCGTGACGTCATAGTCCGACATCGTGGCGATGCGATCGAGCCGCCGAAGCCCCTCCGTGCGCCCCCCTCGATCCGAAAGCGTTCGTCGGAAATCCCGCAAGAGGCTCGTGGGAAGGACCCCCACGCGCTGGAAACGTGTCTGGCCATCCGGCACAAACCACCTCGCGACCTCCAACGCCGCGAGGCGAGGGGGGGGCACTTGATTCGCGAAATCCGATACAAAACGACGATAAAAAGGCGTGAAAACGCTATACGGCTGCCCATCCTGCTTCAACACCGTATCCAATGGAAGGAGGGTGTAATCGTGGCGGCATTGGATACTCTCCACCTGATGGGCATGGCACCATTCCAACAAACGGGCATCCCGCACCAAGGCAAACGGGGTGAAATCCGCGTTAAACGCCAAAAGCCGAATCCGAAACCCGCGCTGTTGAACCTCGGCGAGGCATTCCTCATCGGCCCCGCGCAGGCAGACGAGCCGGCCATCCAACTGCCCACTGCTATCCAAATCTTCAAGCGACTCCAACATCACTTGGAAGCTGGCGTCGCCAAAGTACGGATTCTTCGCCGGATCCGCCTGCAAGGGGTTGAAGAAGAAAAGGGGTAGAATCCGCAAGGCCTCGGCGGCGGCGCGATCGATCAGCTGCCACAACGCGGTGTTATCCGCGAGACGGAGGTCGCGGCGAAAGATAAAGACGGCCACATCCTCCTGCGCCCCACCTTCATCGCGCGCAACCCGGCGCGCCACCGTGGAGGGCGAACGCGCGCGGCATTCATCCGAGCAAGGACTACGGCTGCGTTTGGTTGTCCGTTGGTTTGCTGGCATCTCCATTTTAGCCTACCCCTCTCTCCCGCACCGACAAACCACAATCACGGACTCAACCAAACAGAAGCACTCAAGAGGAGATCCTTGGCTCTCGATTTCGACCGTTCATTCGTTTCGTTAAAATGAATTCGGCTGCGTAGAGCCGTTTGACTTTTATATTCTTGCTGAGATCTATGACGCATTCACAGAATTCGCGCACAAATCGGTGTGATAAACGAAACCCCCATATCCGTGAAAAAAAAAGGTAAGACGAAGAAAATGAGATAGAAAGTACCCGAAGAAATCATTGAAGGTGTATTTTTATAAGCGCTTTATTAAAAACAAGGAAAACATTTGACTTTATTACACAGAGTGCAGTTTTCTTTTAAGAATTCGAAGCTCCATATGTATATATATATATATATATAGTAG